AGTGTGTCGCCTTATTTCTGTCTTCAAGCTGTATACTGATGTAGTTATTTCTGTCTTCAATAGTTATTTCTGTCTTCAAGCTGTATACTGATGTAGCATTAGTATACAGCTTGAAGACAGAAACAACTACATCAGTATGCCGCTTGAAGACAGAAATAACTACATCAGTATACAGCTTGAAGACAGAAATAACTATATCAGTATACAGCTTGAAGACAGAAATATTCGTTATTGTATATCACACATTCTGCGATATTCGTTATTCTATATCACACATTCTGCGATACGTTTCGACAAGGTTTTGTCATCATCTGGTACAAGTAGTTTATACTTAATGGCTAGTTTTGATGTCGTGTCACTCTTCACCGAAGTCCCCGCCAATGAAGCTTGTAATATTGCACTCGACCTCTACATTAATGACCCCAACAAGTTAATCCACATCCCCAGCACACATTTTGCTTCTCTCTTAGAATTTACAACGACTAAAACCAACTTCATTTTCAACAACGAACATTTCCTTCAAATAGATGGTTTAAGTATGGGCGATCCTGTTTCACCCGTTTTTGACAAAATAGTCATGATGCAGATAGAAACACAAGCCATACATTCTGCGCTTCATCCGCCACTATACTGGTACAGATATGTCGATGACACTTTTGCTGGTTTCACTTCTACAGAACACACACACTAACTTTCTTTGAACACATAAATTCCATTCATCCCAACATCAAATTTACCATAGAACACGAAAACAACAAATAGTTATATTTTCTTAACTTCAACATTGTTAGATCGGACACACAGTTTAAAACCAAAATTCACCGTAAGAACACACACACTGGCCTCTACATCCCCTGGAATTCCGCTCATGACACCACACAAAAAATCAATATAGTGAAAAACCTCATAAACACAGCCACAAGACCCTGTTCAACGGAATACATAGATGAAGAAATCAAACACATAAAGCATTCCTTCATTCACACCAACAAATTTCCACCAGCTATTGTTGAAAAACTTTTCAACATTCACCAGAACAAAACTCAACTCACGAACAAAATTGATACAAACAAACCCAACAACAGAACATTACACTGCAGCTTACCTTTTGTTCCTAAACTCAGCTCAAGATTTATCCACACTTGGACAAAATTAGCCATTAAACACAAAATTCCTGTCAACGTCAAATTCTTTCAAAAACCCAGCCCTAAATTAAAATCGTTACTAAACAAAAATTATTTAGAATCACACAATACCAACATCATTTACAAAATAACATGCCCAGATTTCTACATCGGAGAAACAGGAAGAAAATTGGAAACCAGATTCATAGAACACAATAAAAAACCGTCCCATGTTTTCCACCATTGCAACTCAAAAAACCATATTACATCTATTAAAAACACAGTAATTTTAAACAAAGAACCAAACATAAACAAACGAAAAATCAAAGAATCAATCTTAAGTGAACAAAACAACCCTACTCTAAACCAACACTCTGAGGTGCCAAGATATCTCTTCTAAGTCTTGCAACAGTATCCGGTCATGTGACCTCTTTGTTCCATACTGTATATATATATATATATATATCTGTGTCAGTGTAAACTACTTGTACCTGATGATGACAAAACCTTGTCGAAACGTTGTACATTTGCTGTTATGTTAAACTTATATTAAAGTTTTCTTCATTACCCATTCAAGACGACTCCAAGCATTATTAGTTTCAAAGTGGGTTTCTCGTCATCGAATTAGAAGTCATATAACAACAAAATAATTATATAGTAAGGTTCGTGTCTTTTTCACATACACACACTTACAAGGACTCAGTTCTAATATGTGAAATTTAAAAACAGATTATGTAACCATCGAGCATCTGTTTATCAGATTTGGCGATTATTTAAA